CAGACACTGGTGTGGCTGAAGAATTCATGAAAAGCGTAGTGAGAGCAAGGGGCAGTCTGGGAGGAGCGTGGACAGTGCCTCCAGTGTGACACCATGGCATTCATGGAACAGATAACCTACATACTGGGAAATATACACATGTGGTGCCTGTGTTGATACAGCTTTTGATCTTCTGTGGTATCTGGAAATGCAGCAAAACAAAACAGCACATATGAAATAACTCTCTTCAGAGTTATTTTCCATGGATGAGTAGCCATGGGTTAAGGACCAATGTTTGCCAAGTGCTAGACATCTCCCCTCTCTAGTGTTCATGTGTGCTGTACTTTTAAATTTTTATTGGAGTCTTGTTTGGCTTGTTCTGTTGGCAGAGAGGGATGGGGATTTGGCTAAAATAAGTATCTGCCATCTTCATCAGGAACTGTCAACCTGCTGAAATGTTGGGCAATTTGCAGACTGGTTAAAGTGATATAATGTTGTTTTCTCTTTTCACTGAAGGGAAATCTTACCATTAATTTAAAAAAAATACTTTTCTGAATGATGAGATGACACTTGGAAGGATAATTAATATTTTCAAAAGATTACAAAAGAATGTATGGATGTTCATTAAGCTGGACGACTGCACCAAGTCACTCAGAACACAAAGATGTAGCTATAGACTCACTGCCTGCCTGGTGGCAGGGACATCTCAGAAGCATGGGCACACCCTGAGTGGGACATGGGAGAGGCAGAGTGTGACGTTCCTTTTGGTGCTACTATATGACCCTCATTAGAGCTGATACAGTAGGGTGATGGTTGTTCAATAGCTTATCTGGAGTTTTCCTGATAAGAGAGTCAGAGGAAGATAAACCATTTGCTGACCGGAGTGTGGTAGCAGCTCCTCTCCCCATCCCGAACTAAAAGAATGGTCTAAGGAGAGATATAATTTAAAACAAACCCCCAGAACCAGTGGTGGGAGGAACTGGATTCCTTCTGACCTCCGGAGCGCCTGCATACATCTGGTAAACCTCCGTAGGAAAATGAACTGGCTTTTGGATTACTTTCTTTATTAGTATAAAATCATTTTCTTTTGTTGTTTTACTTAATGTGCTTACTTAATCTTTTGCTGATTTGGAATTCATTTCAAAATGATGGTCAGACAGGAAAATATTTAGTTCAGTCATTTGGCAAATATTTATGACGTTCCTACTGTGGATTGAGGGCTGCTCTAGGTACATGGGCTACATCAGTGAACAAATGAGACAGACTTTTCTGACCTTCATGGGCTTCCATTCCAGTGTGGGGAGATGGACAGGTAACCAGGTAAATAAATAACATGCTGTATATTAGAAGGTGATCAGTGCGGTGGAGAAAAGTGAAGCAGGAAGAAGAAGAGTTGGTGGTAGAATGAAGAAACGGAGGCCAGAGAAGGTTCTGCTGGGAAACTGGCACTTGGGTAAAGACCTGAATGGGATGAGAGCTGAGGTGCATAAGCCCCTGGAGGAAGAGGATTCAAGCCAGAGGGAACAGCAAGTTCCAAGGCCTGAGGCAGGATTTTTCCTATGGGAACCATAGTGACCTGGTGGGCCTCAGCAAAGTTAGTGACAGGGAGGAGAGAGGGTGAGGTTAGAGAGGGACAGCAAGCTGCTGCATACGGAGTTGTGTCTGCTGTAAAAGGCTTCATTTTATAGTGACACAGATGAGGAGCTATTGGGAGTTTTGAGTGGAGAAATGACCTGCTCTAAGGTTTTAATAGGACCACTCTGGTTTCTGCATTGAGAGTAGCTGTAGGGGGCAAGGGTAGAAGCAGGGAGACCAGGCCCAGCTGGTGTGACTCAGTGGTTGAACATTGACCTATGAACCAGGAGATCATGGTTTGACTCCTGGTCAGAGCACATGCCTGGGTTGTGGGCTCAATCCCCAGTAGGGGGCATGTAGGAGGAAGCTGATCAATGATTCTCTCTAACCATTGATGTTTCTATCTCTCCCTCTTCTTTCCTCTCTTTGAAATCAATAAAAACATACTTGATAAAAAAGGGTGGGCTGGGAGACCAGGTAGATGGCCATGGTAATAATCCAGGTGAGAGACGATGGGAGGTTGGGGGAAAAGCAATGAAGGTGAGAGGTGTCAGATTCTGAGAAAACACAGAAGACCAGATTTGTTGATGGATTGGATATGAAGGGTGAGGAGTCCAAAGGGTCTGTAAGGTGCCTGGCCTGGACCACGGCAAAGACAAACTGCCATTGACTATTGTGGGGAGACTGTGGAAGGATCGAGCTTGGGGAGAAGATAAGGAACTCAGGTACAGAGATGTTATACTTGAAATGCCTGTTAGGTACCCAGTGGAGATATACAGACAGTTGGATACAGAGATGTGGGATTCATACTAGAGATATCTATTTGGGTCAGAATATGGATGATCTTCAACACCATGAAGCAGGTCACCAAAGCTTTGAGTGAGATTTGGTAGAAAAGAGAAGATGTAGAAGTTTATTGTTTTGTTCATGGTTCAAAATCATTGCCACTTTTTTTTCAACATGTAAAGTTCTATGTAGCATTTTTCTATAAAAATCACCACTCTGATACACTTTTGAAAGTAAGAGAATTAGCAAAGGTCTTTCTTTTCTCCTAGATAGAATACAATGGTGTGCTGTTTGTTTTGTTTTGTGAAATTCTGCCTTTTTGTTTTTTTCATTCGAGAAAAATGTCATTGATTCCGTAAAGCCTGTGACTGCGATATTTTCACTCCTATTTTTAAGAGATTGGCTTCCTTTCCTGTCTGGTGACATTAGATAGTAAAGGCTTAATTGAACATGGGCAATATGGAGCTCCAAATGTTCCTGCCTCAGACAGAGTGCTAGATAACTGGCTTCCAAGGAAGAAGGGATGCCTGGAAGCTAGAAAACCAATTAATAGTTCCCTATTTTGTTATATTTTAATCCACCCAAAGAAATAAAACACGCAAACCCACAATACCGAGTGGTGAGTATCCAGGCAGTAGACTGATTAGCTATTGATTTTTCCTTCATTTTCTAGAGGAGCAGAGGGATTTTATCGGAAACAACTATGAACAGAAAAGGAAAGCAAGCAGGGAGAGAGTACCTTGACCTTTTGAGCTAATGGGTTAGTTTCAATACTTCACAAAATCCACAAATAATACTTAAATTCAAACATAAACATCAAATTATATTTGTTTCATGCCTTATAATGTACTGCAAGTATAACAAATCATTGCATGTATGAGAGACAGATTTGAAGTCTGGTTTCCTTATAAGTAAACACATACTGTACAAATTTGATGTTTATTGGAAGATATAATGGGTACTGTGAAATGGAGGAAAAAATTGCAAATAGCCTAGTGTGCCACGCTCAGGAATTTGAATAGCAAAAATGAACCTATGTATTTATGTAAAATTTGTGTATGAAATTTGGATCCACACCTAGTATTCCAACTGCCCCAGAAAAAAAATCTTGCCCTTTGGCCCACTCACCGGCTTTCTCTCAGATTCCCAGAGGCTATATACCCTGAGCCTTAGTCATGGAGGGTGGTCTAGCTCCCTGCTGCTTGACCTTCATTGACACCTATTACCTGCATTCACTCTTGCCAGGCTTCCTGCTGTACTGACTGACCAATGACCTCTGGAATGATCTCTTTGATCCAAGATGCCTACATTAGGAAGATGGTCTTTGGTAGACTTGTGTCTCTTCCCAGGTAGATCTCTGTGGTTCCTTGGTTCTCTAGGCATCGATCATCCTTGGCCTCCCATCTACCCACTGTAAAAGGAGGGACAAGGAGGCCTCTCCAGCCGGGCTCCTACCACTCACTGCCCCAGGCACTCGAGGTCCCATGAAGGCTTGAACCCTCTGGCTTGCTTCCAGATCTTCTAGGGGGCCTTCTGCAGAGGCAGCTCCTTCAATGTACATGCTCTATCCCCCCAAATATCCACATGGCCCAGTCTCACCTCCTTCAAGTCATGGCTCAAATGTTACCTTCCCAACAACTCCCATCCTGACCTTGACATCTCATTTAAAATCACAACTCCTTATGCTAAGTGAAAGAAGCCAACACAAAAGCTCACATATTCTATGATCCCATTTACATGAAACTCCCTGAATAGGAAAATCCATAGAAACAGGGCACACATTGCAGAGTGCGAGCATCTGGAGGAGGGGAAAGTGGGGGTAACTACTCAGTGAGTACAGGGTTTTCCTCAGGGCGCTGACAGTGTTTTGGAATTCGGTATCAGTGATATACTTTAAAATGGTTAATTGTATGTTATGTGAATTTAACCACAGTTTAAAAAATGGAAACCTCACTAATTACTGTCTCCTTTACCCAGGTCCATTTTCCCCCTAGAATGTTCCTAACACACAACGGGATTCATGTGTGCATCTTATTTATGGTCCATCTCTGCTCTCCCGATGGAAACTCCACAAGGGCAGGCTTCCTGTCTGCTTTGTTCATTGATGTAATAATCTCTGGACCTCGAACAGGCCTGGGGCAATGTAGGTCATGATACATATTTGGTGAATATATAGAAAAAATGTTTGACCTCTTTAATGTTCATTAATAAAAGATCCTCCCTATTCCTTGAATACCAAATTAGAGGAAAAGGATTCAGTAAACAATAAAAGAGCCAGTATGGTCTCATCCAAAATAAATGCCACATTCGAGAGGAGAAGCTAAGTGGCGTGGATCCCATTACAATTCCTGCTCCCCACATGGAAAATAAAGAGCTGGACAGGGATTTAAAGGATCAGGAAGATGTATCTGGTGCTGAGCATAGTTTTTAATTTGCAAGGATTAGAAATGCCAACAAACGTTGCATTTTCCTCTGAATTCTAAAAGATAATTCGGGTCATTGGATTTAAGCTAGGAGAACTAGGAAAAATGTGGCCCCTAATAAATGCACTATTTCTGCATGCACATATGTTCTGTGAGTAGATTCAATCACATGGACCCTGCCCAGAAGTATTTTCATTGAAAAACTGAGACACTGTGAGAGAATCAGAGAGAACATACCAATGAGCTCCTTATTTCGGACGTCCAGGGCCATGTTCCGGAGCGCCGTGGCCACTGCGCACACCACACGGTCGTTATCTATTCGGAGCAGCTCCACGAGGATGGGCAGGCCTTTCTCTTTCCGGACAGCAGCTCGGATGTACACTGACCACTGCGAAAAGATGAAGGCAAAGACCTTAGGGATGGAGGAGGCAAACCCTAGGAGCAAATAGCACGCACAGTTTTCAGACTGTCCTTTGCAGGAACCAAAAAGGTTGAGTTATCAAGACCTAATTGTAAAATAGGTTGAATAGGTTAGACATGTATTTAAACGTTTTCATGTTTTATTTTGCCTTCACAATATGGGAAAGGTTTCAGGGTGAGTCAGCTAGCCACATTTTGCTTCTCTGGTACCAGTCTTTCCTTTCCTTAGATTGGAAAGCCATCTGTAGCCATTTGCATGATGTATATACTTGATGCTTTGAGATGTGAAGGTTTGGGACAGAAAGGGGGGCTACTGACATTCAGAGGAATAATAAAATGAGCCCTGGAAAAAGTAGAAAATGATAAAAGATTGAGTGTGGGTGATTGGTTTAAAAACAGAGATTTAATTTGGAGGTGGGGCACAGAGATGAGTTGCCAAACATATCATCAGTAAGTTCTTTGCTGAATAATAAAGATTAAATAAGTCAGAAAAAGGTAGGGGTGAGGAGAGGTAACTATAACATTAAAAATCAATAGTAAAAATTATAAACTAAAAAATATTTAGATCGAAATGTGTTGTGTCTAGGGCAGTGATGGCGAACCTATGACACTTGTCAGAGGTGACATGCAAGTTCATTTTTTTGGTTGATTTTTCTTTCTTAAATGGCATTTAAATATATAAAATAAATATCGAAAATATAAGTATTTGTTTTATTATGGTTGCAAATATCAAAAAATTTCTATATGTGACATGGCACCAGAGTTAAGTTAGGGTTTTTCAAAATGCTGACACGACGAGCTCAAAAGGTTCGCCATCACTAGTCTAGGGCCATAATTCCATGTTTACTCTATAATATAAGATCTATAATTTGTTTTGGGTTGGTGATTATTGATCATAATGAAGCACACCTAATGTTACTATTGAAATGTACTTGCAATATTCAGAATGATAAAGCATTCCAATCCATGTCACAGAATGTAGGAAGGCCAGATTCTTCTGACATTTGCATATACACTTTATACTATTTTACGGTGTTCCAAAGAAGAGCGTGCACTATAAAAATCAACCCATATAGGGTTTAATCAGTCACATTTTCATTTAGGATGTAAGAAAATGACATTCACGACAGGAAGTTTTGGATTCTGTGGTTGAGTACTCTGGGGGACCATCAAAGGTGGAATAAAGTCCCCAACCCCCCCCACCAGGACCCTCCACCCCCTTCCCCATTGGGGCAGACACCCCAGAGCTGGCTCTCACCTGTGGCAGGCAGGGAGCCCCCTCTGGTAGTGAACGTAGGGCATATGCCATGCCTGCCACATCCTCAGCCCAGCCCTGCATGAAATATGAGATTAAAAAAACACACAACTTCATCCCATCCTACGTTAGAAGTCACATTCACATAGTTTCTTGTCACCATCAACTCGTCCCATAATCTTTCCCCTGCCCCCATTCCAGGAAGCCTAAGGGGATGGGAAGCAGCTAGAATCACTAAAGCATCTCTTGATTGCGATGAACTGTTTCACAGACCTGCTCTCAGGGAGCAGCAAAATGGGTGGTCAGGGAGTCTTAGACATGGAAAAACATCCAGGTTTGAAAGCTGTTTCTTGGAATTTGGAGGGAGGTACTCTGTGAACATAGTACAGAACCTCTTTCATGTCCACTAGAAATTTAATTCACAATTTGAAATGCTGAGACATGATTTTCATCTACTGCCTCCACTAGACTTGTAAACCTCTGGTCTCCAGGGCCAGGGGAACCTGAGCTTATGCAGCACATGCATTGTTGGGTTCGTCCTTAAAACTAGGAAGGGAGGTGAGAGAAAGGAAGAAAACGGAAATCAGAATGTAGGCTCAATGTTTACCAATTGTGAGATGAACATCAACAATTGACTCTATACTGGGGAGATGTGCTGGCCCTTTGGGAGATGGTGAGAATGCTCTTGGCAACTTGGGCAGGCTGATGCGTGGGTCCTAGAGACGGCCTCTTCCCTGGCAAAACCTCATTCCAGTTCAGGATGCTGGTTTGAACATTAGTGACCTCTTCTAATTCCCTAAGACGCTGGAGGTGGCATTAGTATTCTTATTTATAGAGGAGGAAATCTAGGCACAATGTTGTTAAGTAACCTGCTCATCAGGGTCAACTGTGCCACTGACCCCCAGTCCTGTTACTCCAAATCTGCTTCTCTTTATGATGTTGACAATTTCCCCTCCTCTGCCAGCATCTCATTCTCTCTCCCCTAATCCTCTGTGTTCAGTCCCCCAGACACTGCCTTGCTCTCCCCTCCCCTCCATCCTTCTAAACACTGATAGAGAAGAACTTGGCCATGTTTGAAATAAGCCAAGAAGGGAAATTTATGATTGTATCATTTTAGAAGTCCAGCTATTATATCCTGCCCATGTGGGATGGAAAGATGATTTAGTGTTTGGAAAATAAATGAGAGTCCTCCAGCTTTGTGGAGAACTTATTTGAGAGTAAAAAAAAAAAAAAAGAGGCTATCCATGGCCCAAAATGTTACAGATACACCTTTTGGTATCATAAAATGGTCAACAGTGGTATGTTCTCCCTAAGTGAAAAGGGATAACCAGACAACAGATTTCAACTCGTATTATTACAATTGCTGCATAGAAAATAACTTTTATTTTTGAAACTTTTAGTTTTGTATGGTATGGAAAATTCCTCATATCAGTTTTGAATAGGACGACTCATAATAAACTACTTACATTTCACTCAAAACATGTTGCAAGTTTCCACAAGATTTCTTGACATGCAAAAATAGGTGATAGTGATGCCTTTTAAGTAGCAGCCAAACAATCGACCAGTCTCAGAGGTAATGTGTGACCAAAGTGTAACCCACCAAAAAAGGAGTAAACCCCAGTTAGAGGTGGAAAGGAGAAAGTCACCAGACAGTGTTATTGGGAAATGAGGTATGGTTTCAGGTACACTCAATACGGAACCTACAGAGTTTCCCAAAAGAGAAGTCAGTTGCCTTGGAATCATCCACTGTGGTGGTTAGAGGTGCACGGGTTGCCAAGTGTTTTGTAGTCTAAACAAAAGTAAGAGTACCACTGGCATAACAACATGAACAAGAGAGAAACGTGTATCATAACCCATTGTAGCTGAAGTAAAAGTCTTTGGGCAAAATGAGAGCACTGTGCACTGAGCACATGTGTACAGAGAGGGGAGCTATCAGCCATGGACCAGGATGCTTCTGAGAAGAACAGCTCAAGAGTGGAAGAGAGAATGCTTGATGATTCAAGAGGATGAGAAGGAAGAGGAGTAGGAAGGGGAGGGGGGAGAATGACAAAGAGAAGATGGAGAAAAAAGAGCTGGTTCGGGAGAAAACAATTGATGCTTAAAACTAGGAAGGGAGGTGAGAGAAAACAATTTATAAGCATAAATTATAAGCACAAAAATGTGACCCAAATTCCTCCTGCAGAAATGCTTTCCCAATGAGGACTGAGGAGAGTTATAAGCCCTTATAACAATCTCAACTATAAGAAACCTAACACTTAACCAAATGCCAGGCACAGTTCTATTTTTTTACATGTATTTATTCACGTAATCCTCATCTCATCCCTGTGAAGTATGTGCTAGTGTTATTTCCACTTTACAGATGAGAATAGGGAGGCACAGCAAGGTCCCTCAGCCTGTGGCTGCTTGACCGGGTCTTGAACCCAGGAAGCACTGCCCTAGAGTTGGTGTGCCTGACTACCCTTCTCTTCTGCATCTCAAAAAGACAAGTGTAAATTATATACATTTGCAATCATAGTGATATAATTCTTTGCAAATTCACCAATTAATCTTGATCTAATAACTCATGTTATTATTTTAGTGTTTCAATAACTCACTTGGCCTTCCTCTAAACTCCTGAGTTAAACACCCTTGAATATTGGCAATGGAAGTACTGGACATTTCAATTCAGCCCTGAGAACAACTAAGCTATGCTCAATTCAGTATCTTTCTTGAGGCTGTTGACCAGGTCTCTAGGGACGAGTCTCAAATTTCTCGGTTCTCTTATTTTTTTATTCATTTGGGCCACTTGGCAGAAGATTCTGTTTTCACTACATCTATGGTGCTATTACGTTAGCTCATTAAATATTAAAAATTAATATTCAAATATCTATTTAGTCTACCTTATTTTAAAAGTAAATGAGGAAATAATAGTCTTGACAATAGTCACATTTTAGGGGGAAAGTTGACTAAACAAAGATATCTAAAATGTGTGGCTTAATAGCAAGGGCAGATATAGTTCTACAGTTCAAACCCTGGGTTTTCACAAAGTTCCATTACAATAGAAATAACCCATAAATGGGAGTTCAAAGAACATTTGGTCACATTTTTACAAGTCTTTAACCTACTATATCTAATAGTTTTATTATTCTGTGACAAAAACATCATTGTGCTGTAAAAGAGGAAAAGGTAACTGAATTTCACATTGGCTATGAAAAACATTTATCACTTTGCTTCTGCCACAATGCTATTATGTTTTTCTGATGCTCATAAACCAAGTAATGAGGGTTTTAAAGTGTAAAAAGTATTTAGGGCCATTATGAAGATGTGTTTGCTAGTCAACTTGTCACATAAAAGGACTGTGCATGATCTCCCCATAAAGAGTAATTATTGTTTTGGGAGATGAGGTCTATAAAAAGCAATCTCTATGCAAAATACTGGTGTTTTACCTTCACATTTCTGCTTTCGTTTGGGTCATAAAAAGTTAAGGACACTAAAAAAAAAGTCACTAAATTTCAACAGTTGCTATGAAATCACATTCTTGAAATTCTAGGTTTCAGATAGTAACCCTGTCTATACAAAAATTGAGGCTATTGTGTATCCTAATTTAATCTTTTACTTAATATTTTTTTAAGTGAAATCTTTTTTTTAAAGTAAAGATTAACTTATTTTTTTGTACAAGCTGTTCTCAGTCATTTAAAAATTGTAACAATTTATCAGTGTTTGGCTTAATGAAGATTTTCTCAAATCATCCCTATGGATTATCTTCCCTACCCACATAATCCTTTACCATTTAATATGATAAATTAATAAATTACACAACAGATGATGATAATGTAATTGTCTTTTATGCATGCCTGTGTGTTTGCATTTTTATAGTAGAGCTCTTATGGAAGCACATATACTTTTAACTATACGCAAATATTCTTTAGCAGTCTCCTGCTCTGCCTGAGCACCATTCCATCTGACTAAAGTTACAGAATAAGGAAGGTTAGTGCTTTATAAGTAAGGCTGACATTCTGAGAGTCAAAATTCTACTTTAACCATTGGGAGGGAAAGATTTATAAAATGATTTCTTTTAAAATTATTAGTAATAATTTAACATTTTTTTCATTTCAGAGGGTCAGCATTAGGAGTATCAGTTATTAGAATATATGCAACAGCCAAGACATTTAATGGCCTCTGGCAGTTTTCCTCTCTTGCTACCTTGTAGTTACTTTTTCTAATTCTTTTGTATTTTCTCTTTGCCATCACAGTATTTACTCTCCCTTCTTAGGCAGATCTTTATGCCTCTTTATAAGAGACACTCCTTGCTTTTTAAAATCTGATGTGGACTGGGAAATCTGATGGCCATTGCTGTTAAACTCTGTTGAAAATACAGAATAATTTTTGTGATACTGACTTCATCTGCTCCTTACTAGTCTCTATTAGTAAGGGAAAAAATTACCAAATGAATGTCTACTCAATATGTGGGGATACATTTCACACTGGGGATAACTGTGCTGAACTAATGGTCAGGTTTATGCACTGAAAACAGTCAGCAGGATATTATTACCAGAAAATATTGAAAAAAAATTTATGATAGTTCATCCATAATCCTTATTTTATAAGCCAAAGTAGGAATTTTTGAATATCACAATAGCATAAAACTTTTAATCTTATTATTTTCTTATTCCAAGTACCTAAAGACCCAAACATACCTCTGCTATGACACAGAGCCTGATAATTAAACAGAACATTCAACCTGCAGGAACTGTGGGACTGGGAAATGCTATCAAAACCTGCAGCCTGCAAAGCACTGATGAGTTTGGAAACTGAAAAGAACATAGTTTTCCCATAACACTTTTCTGTCACAGGGATGAACAGGTACAAAGAAATACATGGGACTTGGCTTCTGCCTTTAAAGTGTTTATAGACCAGATTCCTTTCTAGAGGGCTTTCTTAGTAGCTCGGTAAAGACTTCTATACCTAAACGAATAATTGGTGACACTGATCCTTAATTTTGATGTTAGATGTGGTGCAGTTCTTAGTACATAACATTTCTTTTTTTTTCCTTTGGCTGCTTTTAAGATTTTCTCTTTACTACTGATTTTGAACAATTTGATTATGGTGTACCTTGATACAGTTTCTTCATATTTCTTGTGCTAGGTGTCCCATAAGCTGCTTGAATCCGTGAGTGTATGGGTTTCATTAAATTTAAAAAATTTTCAGTACTTAAATTTTCAAATAATTTTTTTCAGTTTTCTTCTTCCTTTATCTCTCCTCTCATTTGGGGACCACAATTACATATACAACAGGCCACTGTACATTTTTTTCTGTGTTTCATTTTGTATAGTTTCCACTGGTGTTTTCTAGTTCACTAATCTTTTCTTCTGCATTGTCTATATGCTGTTAATTGCCATTTCCATGCATTTTTGTTTCAAACATTGTACATTATCTTTAGAAGTTATTTGGATCTTTAATATATTTCCATTGGTTCCAATTAACTTTTTGAATATGTGGAACATAGATTTTAATTTTTAAAGCAGAAGTTGTAGTCTTGCATTTAAAATCTTCTAGACCTCAAAGGTATGTCTCCATTTTTTAAATTGTCGTAAGAACCTAAGTATTTCTTAAAGAAAATAGTAATTCACTAAAATATCATAGGTTCAAGATGGCATACTTGATATGCTACCACCTAGATGCTGTGTGGTTTAGGTTAGACTCATGGCTACGGGCCAGAGCCCACTTTCCCATGCCATCTGGTCAGTCCTCTAACTTGGGAGCTGGGTGGGGACTTGTAGCCACTAAGTGCTCTTGGCTATATATACTGAGAATTGCTTGACCAATGACACCCTGCTCTCCTCTTTGCATCCAGTGTCATGACTGGCCTGCAGGATGTGACGTGAAGCATCCACAATCTTCCCTGTTCAAAGATGATACACCTGAGAACATAAGGAGGTGCTACAATTTGCCCAAGGGTCACAAAGATCAGAAGAGGTAGAGTCTATGTTTGATTGAAACTTGAGTCAAAGCCTCCTAAATTTAGAGGGAGATAAAATCTAAGGGTTAGTTCAAGGAAATGATTTCCATTATTATCTCTTTTCTACTCATACAAAACTAGTCTCTAGAATTCTGCCTGATGTGACTTTGCTTTTGAAACTTTTCTATGGTTGAAAGCAAGTGACAACTTCACTTCCTCTCCCCCAAGCTAAATTCTCCCAGTACAACATTAGAGATGCCTATGAGCAGGGAAGGAAAGGGATAATATGTTCATTACTAAGACTCTCAAAAGAAGAAGGGGTGAGCCTCCCAGGCATCAGTAGCCAGATCCTGGGAAATATTGTAAGAGACTAGGCCCCCAAAGTTGGGAGGTCACACCTGAGAGAGAAGGCAGTGCTACTGCCAAAACTGAAGCAATGGAAACAAATGATCTCTCTCTCTGTCTCTCAATCTCTCTCTCTCTCTCTCTCTCTCTCTCTCTCTCT